TTGACGCTGTCGCCCCTCTAAAAAAGAAGGCAAATCAGAGGAGATCAGCTCCGTGGTATAATTCTCAAACACGTTTTCTAAAACAGACATCGCGGAAACTAGAGAGGAGGTGGCGTTCCACCAATAATCATGACTTTCACATAGCCTGAAAGGATAGCTTGATATGTTACAAGAAAGCACTTAGAAATGCCAGAACTTGTTATTATTCATTTTTAATAGAATAAAATAAGAACAACCCCAGGTTCCTCTTCAGCACTGTAGCCAGGGTGACAGAAAGTCACACCTCTACTGACGAATCTATTCCTCTAACCCTAAGAAGCAATGATTTCATGAGCTTCTTTACAAATAAAATTATAACCATCAGGGATAAAATCCACCACCTCTTCCAAATGAATATCACATACATAGAAACATTGCCTGGTCCTGGTCCTGCTCCTGTGGGGCTGAGGCTGCACGTTCCATCATTATCAGTTCTATGAAGTCCTTTAGCCAGGTTTTTTTTTCTTAATAAACAAAAACAATTCGATTTAATTTCATTTTTTTACAGATAGGAATGCCAACATTATCAAACATTGTGTTACTGCAGATTGTGAACCATCCATTTGATTTCCTAGAAAGCATACTTCTGGGGAGACTGATACATCTTCCTTCCCAGAATTTCCTTACTTCTGGGCAGAGAATGACTCTTAATAAACAGCAAAGCTTGGCCAACTGAAGAAGATCAATCAATTAATATATATACTATATATGCAGTGGAGCTTTGCTGTAGAACCATTTATACTGCGATGATTGTTGATATTGTATTATTCCCCAGAGAGCATTTTTAAAACCATCTGTGAGAAAAATGTATTTAAAGTGAACTTTGACATTTCAGCTTAGTCAATATCCGTTCCACTCTGATGAAGCAGATGTAAGACCTACACCACAGTTAGCCACCATGGTGCAAATGAATTGGCTTCATTTTTGAAGGTGTCATGTCATCCATCTTTATAGTCTGGGTTGCATCGCTCCTCTGCATTTTCAAAGTATGAGCTTAAGACTTAATGTGTGCTTGTCACTTTCTAATTTAAGAACATGATTCACAAAATAATTTGAAGTAAAGTGTTAGAAAATGTTTCTATAGGGACCCACTTCAACATAGACCCATAGTTGCTTAGGCTACAAGCTCATTCCCTTCACTCAGTATACCTTCAGCTGCAGCAACAGCTGTTCTCAGAAAAACAGTTGTAAAAAGCCATTGTCCGCCTACTCAGCAGCAAGTGAGAGTTATCAGACAGCTGGTGAACACAGTGGAACAGCTGACAAGCCATATATTCAACATTTAGATTCAAGATTAATTTTATTGTCCCTCAGAATAAAATGTGTCCTGTAGGCTCTTAATCCATGTTGCAGCCATAAAACAACAATTTATATGATATACATATGTGATGGGTCACAGCCATCTGTGAGATGCAGCTCCACACTACTGTTGCTTCTACAGACCACAGAYKAYGACCAGGTGGATTATGGGGTGTTTTATTACAGCTCTGCAACACAGCATACAGCAGCACAGTGGTGAGGGAAAGTTCCACCATCACAGTCTCGGGATAATAACACCACAGTGGAGTCCTCTTTTCTCTGTGCAGCATTTAACAGTTAAATAAAATACCGAAACCTGTTCATATAAAATAAAAATAAAAATTACATCCTAGTGTGATCGTATAGTGTATATTGTTATTCCATAAATCATAAATGAAAAATCCCCACATAACCATTATGTGACATGAAATGTCTTTTAAGAACACATTCAACATTTACCTTGAGGTAAGTATAAAAATCACAAGTAGCTCATTAACATTAAATTCAGAGATAGATAACAAATGTGAGCCATTTATCTGAACAATGAAAAAGGCTGTTCACAGACTGGTATACAAAAAAACATATGAAAWGTTACATAAGAAGTGCACWACATATTACCTGCAACACAGCATACAGCAGCACAGTGGTGAGGGAAAGTTCCACCATCACAGTCTCGGGATAATAACACCTGACACGAGGGAAAATATTTAAGCTAGTTTAGCAACATTAACAAGTCTCTAACATCATTTTACGGTCTAATAAGTCACAGTTATTGCTCAAAACTGTTAGCATAGGTCACAGTGAGTACTTGACACGGTAGAATATAAAGTATAAACATCTGGAACATTAAAGGAAATAATTAATTATCCCGGACCATGCGAGATGACGTCTTACCACAGTGGAGTCCTCTTTTCTCTGTGCAGTACCCACACCAACCACTGCGCCAGTAAAAGGCGGTGTTGCACATTTTTCTGCCATAATTTAACAGGCATAGATCTACTCCTTTACACATATGAAGACCCAGGAGGCAGTGGAGACCAAAAGCAGTGTTTTTCTTTTGTCCACATGGGTACATGTAAAGCGCCCTTAGGCCTCTTGAAAGGCGTTATTTAAATTCAAGCTATTATTATTTGATTATTTCAAAAAAGGCACTAGAAATGTCAAATGGACAAATACCAGTCCCAAATAATCATGTTGTTATGTTCCTACTGAATGTGAAAATGAACAACTGTTTGCTGACAAGTTCACCAAAAATGTGATGTGTCAATATGTAAACAAAAGTGAAAATATGCAACAATCCTGCAATGGGTTTGTTGGACCGTTTATTGTGTAATTGTTTGTAATATTTCGGACAGATAGTTGATCTGTTGTCTTCCAATTATGGATATCTTTTGTTGTCACTGTCATCATTCTCAGATAAGAGTAAAATATAGTCAATTATTGCAGCTCATGAATATCAATGACTATATATTGTGAGATCTAAACATTGTACAGTTATCAAGGAAGACGCTGATTTGAATGCTTCTACCCTTTTTGCCTTTCGTTTACTTTAAAGGGACAATTCATCCAAAAATGAAAATTCACTCATTATCTACTCACCACTATGCCGATGGAGGGGTGGGTGAAGTGTTTGAGTCCACAAAACACTTCTGGAGTCTCAGGGGTAAACTTTGTGAGGAGAATCCAATACACTTCAATCAATGGTGAGTCATTCTTCGGACGTAATAAAACAAAAAAACTAACATAATATGCCTTGGGAGACTTGGATGTACCACACCAGCAGTACATCCAAGTCTCCGCAAGCCCCGACATTCAAATTCAACTCGAAGAGGCATCATTTACACCACGTTGCAAGCCTAAATGTCCATTGATAGCCTTCAACGAGGTGCATTCATGGACCGTCAGAAATGCTATGTTCGCTAGCCTAGCCAATTCTGGTCGACTCTTAGCCTTTAAACCAGTGGCGGTTGGTCAATAGAGTGCGTTAGGGCGCCGCCCTCCCTCGTGGAGAGTGTTTTATTTTTATTATTAAAAAAATATAAAAATAAATCTAAGAAATCACCACACGAGCATTATGGAAGCATGTTGTGTTTTTTCTGTTGTTTTATTAAGTCACTAGTGAAGTAAAGTCACTAATGTTTTCAATTGTATGTATTGGATTTGGCTGCTACACTAATTAAGAAGAAACCCATTTTATATTAGGAATGCAATAAACTACTATTTCAATTTTCAATAAATGTATTAACAGTTCTGTGATTATGGTTTGTGTATAAAATAACAATAAACTGAACATATCTGATACAATATTTTCAACAATCCAATGTGACATTTTAAATGGGTTTTTTACAGAACAACATTCAACACAAAGATATATTTGTGGCATAAGACAAATAAAAATCATAAAAACTGTGGACACAGCAAATGTTTGACATTTCTGTTTAAAAATGACTTGACTGATTAATCACTTATCAAAATGTTTGATTTCATTTTCATGTAAAATGTCTCATCAATTAAATGACTAATTGCTACAGCTGTAAACTAAACATATGTATTTAATACTTCCATTATCAACTCTGCAGAGAGAAAAATATATTTCAGTCGTCAGAATATATTATGGTCATTAGAATATTATCAAATGTTTTAACTGTTTCTATTGCATTTTTAATTTCTTTTAGCAAGCCCTGTATTATAATACACACACATATCACACATGGAAATGGTGAGATAAGATAGAATATGCCCTGTGGATATAGTAAAATACAGTGAAAGATTTGTATACAAATTTGAAGAAGGAAATGTGAAATACTACACTGTGGTCAAAAGTATGCTTAGCCATTATGTTTGTATTCTAATGTGATGGATGTTTGATATAGGCCTATGTCAAAACTGCTACAAGTGCCCTGATATTTTGCAGTTAAGTAAAAGGTCATTAAATATGGCAGATAATGAGTAATATGCTGTAAGTGCCAGTTCTCTGACAAAGGATACCTCCACAATGTTTCCACAAATGTCAGTCCTACAGTTTGCTCTGTGCAGGGCTGAATCTACCATTCAGTTCAGTGCTTGGAGGGATCCACACCAGACCATGATGGAAGCAGTGCTTGATGTTAACTGCAGAGAGCAGGCGAGAAGAGTGGTTGGGGGATGACCTGTCTATCAAACATGTCCTGCGGGGTATAGCCTACAGCCCTTGTATTTACCCTCTAGCAGACCATCAGTGCCGGCGCGGTTACCAGCTGCAGTCTGTGTGTTGTCTCTAATCGCAGGCCGACACGCTGCTGATCTTCGCGGTATTCTCGGTCCAGGGCTGCAGGTTCTGCAGTGCGAACAGAGAGCTGTTCTGCAGGCACAGCGGGTCAGGGGTCAACGGCTGGTTGATGGTTTTCTGAAAGGCTTCCTGATGAAGTTGCATAAGAATCCGGTTGGCCTGCTGCCGCTCGGCCTCCCGCTCCTCCGCAGTCTGCCGCCTGCAACAAGGAAACACCGCTGAGTGCTCACATACCAACGCATGTCTTGACATAGTGTTTATACCTCAGGACCTGCTACTCGCGCCTTTGTAATTTGAAAATCGAAAGATATATGATCATTATCGAAAAATAAAATAGATTAAGACAACAGTCATAAAAAATAAAAGAACCACAATGGAAATAGAATATTTTGAAAATTAATGTTTTTGAAATTGGCCTACAGTAAATATAGAAGGACATTTCAAAATGGAAGAACGTTACTGTGAAATAGACTTTTAATTAAATTGTATTTGTATAGTGCCAAATCATAATATACATTATCTCAAGGCACTTTACATTGAAGGTTAAGACCTTCAGGAATATTGAGAAACCCACAATGAGCAACCACTAACATCCTCTCTGTTAATAACAAGTTCTGTCTCTCACGTTAAAAAAATTGAATTTGCCCAAAACGCTACTAAAATTATGACAAATGCAAATATAATGCACAATATTTAATGTTAACGTTTTTGTGCATTCTCAGATTGTTGTTTTTAAACAAAACATTGCGGCATCTCAACAAACTCGAAATGATGGAAAGTAACCAACACTTATCTTGTATTTATGAAAATCAGTCAAAACTCATAAAATGTTTAATTATCCATATACATATGTACTTTACTTGTAATAGGGGCTTTCTCTCTTTTCGTTCTTTAACCTTATTTCATTTTCAATTAAATTATATGCTGAAAATAATAGACTTGAAATAATATAAATCAGGTTGTCTTATTTCTGTAGTTTTTTTTTTATTCAACAAGAGCCTTGTCTGTCTTGTTTGTCAATTCACATATTTTAGACGCTCAGTTTGTTAGGTGCATCCAGTTTTGCAATAAACCCATTCATCACGACAGCCGTTTCTTTTCTTTCTTTTTTTTAATCCACCCTATTAATATAAATGAAGGTAGACAAAAAACGTGTATTTCAGTACAGCTCAGTGAAATCCTCCATAATGATCCCAGTTGAATCAGCTCCTCTGAAGCAGTTTTCAACAAATACTGAACATTAGAAGGATTTATTAGGCTTACAGTAGTGTTGTATTAGACAACATTGGTCTGAACAGAGTGGACATATAGCCTAAACTGATAGCTAAATGTTTTTACTTATATTTTGCATTAAACGCTCTGATAAGGCCAAGGGAGAAAAGAGGTGTTAGGTAGTAAGCTAATGATCAAAACAGTGATTATGTATAACATTACATAGCATAAAACATAAAATTTGTGCATTCAACATCAATGAGGGGCCATTCGAGGTTCAGCATCTTGCTCAGGTTTGGAAATCCAGGCCCTTGAATCGCATTCATACATTGTGTTACAGTAACATCAGTCCTGAGAGGTGAGATCCGATCACAAGTCCCATGCGACACACCCAAGACGCATTTTAATACCAAATGCACGCGTGCTTAACGCTGCCCACTTGTGCTAGGATTTCTCAGGAAGGATACTAATACCAAAAGACATGCAGTCCTCTTTAAAATAAAAAACGTTGTTTAAAATAGTCAAATCTCAATATCTGTTTCAGAGATTACAAGAGGAAAACAATATGCTTCATGTTAGAAAGTACTCCTAAATGTCTCTTAAATTTGTTCGTATGGTGATTTCGAACGTGCCATGTTAGATTCAATAAACGCTTATAACTTCAGAAAAGTGTGCGAATGACCTGCGTAAACATCGCAGTATTCAAAGGCCCTGTAATATCATGAGGTTACAATTCCTGTACCATGTGTTATGAAGTGTTTGTTGATTAAGTTGGTATCAAAGAGTAAAATTAGATCAGAAAATATTTCAGAGACCTAGAAAAGATTTTAGCAGTGGAATTAAGAGACTGATTTAAACGAAATAATCGCAAAAATAACAACAAGAAAATGTTAGTTGGGAGAGAAGGAAGATAATTGGATAAAATGGAACGATTAGATGAACAGACACGTGCCATAAAGGTGGCGCATTTCTGTTGTTGCGGGTTCAGGCAATGTGATACCTTCGTTGTTGCAATATTGTGTAATAAACAGCATGTTAAAATAAGTAGACATGCCTTCTCTGGTATGCAGAGCAGCCACCAGCTGTGTCAACGCACATCCACTTGACCACCACCACCACCAACTATGCGCGGCACGACTGCGCATTTGACGCTCGTTGTGTGAGCGCTCCAGTCTTGTTTGAGGGTTGACTAGATGTGTCATGAGCCAGGGACTTCCAGCATAACATCAATCACCTGGAGAATGTAATTCATTTTGGATAAAATGCTCTGAAAAAATATAGCTTACATGCATGGCAACAATTAACATTTGACAAATCAAGCCAGCCGTCTCCGTGCGCGCCTTGCTCAAAGCACATGTCAAGTTGTGCACTCCTAATAGCGCAGCGACATTTATAAAGTACCAATTATTTTAATATCATTCAAATTGCGGAGACTAATGTCAACATAAAGATGAGTTTGAATATCCTATTTATATGTATTCATAATTGCTTCAAAGTAATGAAATACTATCAGTTTGTGAAAAACTTGATTTGAATAATTGCAGACTAATTTCGCTTGACTCACACGACAGGTCTGGACCACACGTAAATTGCGTTCGCACCTGAAAAAAACCTCAAAATATGAGAAATTGTCGAATCACTCCTGAACCACTCACACATCAGATCTGTTTGTAGGAATGGTTCATAAATCAGGCCCTTTTATCTTATATTTATTTATATTTCACCTCCATTTGGTCCGTCTGTTTTGAAACCAGGTTTTGACCTGAGCATCAGTCATCTTCAGAACTTTGGCTAGAGCAGCTCGCTCAGCAGACGCCAGGTATTTTTGCCTGTGGAACCGTTTTTCTAGCTCACAGATCTGCAGGCGTGAAAAAGATGTCCGTGGCTTCTTCTTCTTAGGAGGGTTCCGGGTCTGATAGGGATGACCTACGCGACGTGTTACTGTGAGGGGTGAGAAGGACACTGGACAGCACACAGGACATGACAGAAACGAAAACGACAGGACAGGATAGAAAATGACAGGACAGGTCAAAGCAGGGTAGACATGCTAAAAGGCAAAAACAGCAGGAGAACGGAGGCGTTGTACCAAGTAAAGACTTCGACAAAACACATTTGATCTCAAGATAGTCCGTAGGCCTATTGAAAATATTAACACAGTTCAGATAATACACTTAATAATGCCCTTTCCATATATTGTCAATTTAGCAACCTTGGTCAAACAGCATTATTAATATTTTTAATTATTAAGTTTTATAAACAATGACACCTTTTGCATGTTTTCTATTTATTTAATATTGAGCCTTAACCACCAAACAGTTTTGCCTACTTTGGAGAATTTTAACTATTTTTAAGTTTAAGTATGTAAATAAAAATATGCATTTATTCATGTTTTATGAATATTTTTCATTTTTCTATTTTTTATTGAGGGACGGTTCTATGAAATGATTTATCAGAAATATTGTGTCAATGTAATGTCAAGTAATCAGTGGTAGGCATATATCAGTTAAAGTTAATGAGTTGCAAATCAATATAGGGCAACTATAATTCACTCGATAGTCTGCGAGCATATCCTCTTGCACAAAGAGAAGAGTTACACAGCTAACGTTGTTCATGACAAAGAAAAAGTAATACACTGAAAAATGTCAGACAACACATTTAAAGAATAACACCATTCTTTCCATTCATATAGCATAATAATAATAATAACAAAAATAATCATAATAAATGTTTTTCATGCTTTTGAAACGGGACGCTTTTTGGGTTTCTTAACTTGAATTACTTAAAGTGAATTTAGTTGATGTGAATCGTATTCTGGTGGGTTGAGAGACAAACATCAAGCTAAAACTGACAGAACATTAAACTGTAAGGACGTTTATCTTTGACTTAACAATATATCCATGATAATCTATTCAAGTGAAATTATGTCAAGGTGTGTGACTAAACACCTATCCCATCTCGGCCATTTAAAATTGGACAACCGCCGTAAAATTACATATATTTATTCCTTGTTAGGTATATTACATTACATTATATTATTACCGGGGAACCTGTCTTTGGTGTAGCGTCGGTTGCTCTCCATCCAGGGGAAGGTGAGTGCAGTCAGGTTGTTGATGGTCCCGCTCACCGGCGGCATGGAGTTCCCTCCGTTCAGAGGCCGTTGTGCGGGTACACGGATAACACCAGCGGCATTCGCGTTAGTCCCGCTCACATTGACACCCATATTCATGTGATAAGTCGAGCTACCAGTTCCATTGTATCCAGTGCTACCGCACGCGAATCCGTCGCTGTCCCCGCCACCGCTCACGTTGCCGCTGTACCCCGGATGTCCGTAGTCTGGCCCGTGCATCTTTACGCCCAGCATGCAATTATGCTCCACGTTGCTGAGGATCTGATCAATGCCAAAGCTGATGGGCTCTAGGTGGGCATGCTGTTGTAGATGCGACCCCAATAAGCTTATCCCTATGTGATCCATGGCCTCCCCTCGCAGCCGCGGGGAACCCAGCTTACTCTTCGCGCTGCTTCAGACTTTTCCGTCTGGGCTTTTTCGAGCTCGTTATCTAGTGGGCACGGGCTCACGGATGCACGTCTGCATGCACATCAGAGAAGCGAGGTTACCCCCCACCTCCTTAGTGGGAGAACATCCGTCCGCGTATACACGGCGCGAAACAAAGAAGCGATTTTAGGCCTAACGACTGCATGATTTCTGTGATACACATCCTAAAACACACTCTAACGCATGCACACACATACACACACATTTACAATTTCTTGCATCAGAGAATGTTTTAGACACATGAAATATGCGTGTGAGATCTCTACTGAGTACAAAATAAATCACATAGACAATTCTCTTTTTTTGGAACACTAATAAACTAGCCAAATTACTTTAAGTTTTCCATAATAAATAGGTTAAAAATGATTGATGTTGTCTATACGCTATACTCTAAATATTGTCATGAACCAGCTCCATTATTAATTCATGCTCAGACTGATGACATGGCTGCAAACACTGGTGCGTTTTTATTACTCTCACTGACAACAGAAGAGAACTGAATGCGTTGCTGAAATATTTCACCATTGTGTCTCTTTAATATCTCTGTCTCTATAATATTAATGTTAATAATAAAATGATGAGTTAGTTTTTGACATTAGGCTACATTCATAAAAATGTCATGAATTCGGATGTGATCAAAGACTGCAGCAGCTTTACATGGGAGGGATATTAATGTACCAGAACAAACGTTTAAAAGTAAATCATAAATAACTGTGCATTTTACTGCTTTATTTCCCATTAACAAAAACGTGGCTGTACTGCTCCAAGACATAAACAAGGCACAATAGTTAAATGACAAATTATTTTCTCTCCTTCTACAAGCCATTTGGAGATAATTACTTAACATGGGGCATTAAAGTATTAATATTTGATATGCTCTCAGTGTGTTTTGTTGAACAGACCAACATCAAATTTTAATGCATGCAGTAGCCACACTGCAGTGCACATTGAGATAGCCTACACCTATTCATTTAAGTGTCAACTAATAATGATATCTGTAAAATGTCCACAGATTTTTCTCCACAAAAGTATCTGTACTTATTCAACACCCACTTGTAGTGACTCCAGTATTGTTTAAGTGGTTTGTGATTCTGATCTATACAAAAAAGTTCACAGTAACTTCAGACACAACTCCTTATTTACATTATACCTCCACCACAATTTGCCACTAACCTGTGAGTTTATGTTTTCTACTTAATATTTTTACAGTTGCATTTAAGTTGTAGGCTATATAAGTGTGTAGTTATTAGCTGTTATTAATTGTAAAACCAATTCTAGATTGGATATGATAGTGGACTGTGTGTAAAGAACTTAATCCTTAACATGGAGCCAACATGTGTATAACTGTTTAATCCATTGTTAAGTGGCAAACACATCCCATTTTCTATTAACAGCAGCTTAATGCATTGATTTGTTGCCCCTTTATGGAGCAGAAGCTCCACAGGCCACATAATCCAGGTTCTAATGTTTGAATAAACATGCTAATATAGGAGCTTTGGTTTGTGTTGTTTTAAAGTGGTGTTGGATCCCTGATTGGTTTGTCTAACTGTCTGCTACATATTACTGTGAAATTCCTTATTCCTATCGATATTCTGCTGGCTTTATAGATATAAGTACTGTGGACCATATCTTAGAAACACTTACCATTGTCGGAGCACAGCCCCTACAATTAGCTTCAAGATCAACTCTGAAAACTAAGCATTAGAACTTTGAACACCTAGTCATCCAAAATAACATTAAACACGTTACAACACAATGATAGTTTGTTTCTGCCCCTTCCATAGTCACTCATCCTGTGTTCTGATCCTTCCCAAATCGTTTATGTTGTCATTATTATACCTTAAGCGTGTCACCATTAAATGGTGTGCTTTTGGGCATTCAATAAATATGGCTATCAGAAAGATATTGAATAATAATAAATACATATAAATAATATGAATAATAAACAATAACTTTAATTGATTAAAGCTACCTCAAGGCACCACCCTTCAAAGGAAGGGAAAAGATAGTCCATTTATTGATTAGGTCTCATGAAAGTACTAACTACAAATCTGGAATTCTGATCAATAATTAAATTAATAACTTTAACCAAAATGACCACATCAGTAGTTTGCAAAGTTGAAGGATATAGAGTTTAGAAGTTGGCAAAATTCACCCTTATGCAACATTAATGAAGGCAACATGTGTGTTAAAGAAAAATATTTATTATGAAACTAACAAAAGTATAAACACACAAACTAACTAAAGGTGTACTTACTGTATACAGATGTGCAGATGTGTATGTGAGTATGCGTATGTGATTTTGTGTGTGTGTGTGTGTGTGTGTGTGTGTGTGTGTGTGAGTGAGTGAGTGATTGATGAAGTTCTTAGGCAGGCTCTCGCGTTGCTGCCTTTTGGAAGGTTTTAGCAGCCTGCTCCAGGCAGGCCTGCTTGAAGGATGAAAAAGCTTTGGTAGGGAGAGGTCTCCCAGGCCGGGTGAGCAGAAGAGATACACCTCTCGTCCTGAAGAAGTCAGTAGAAAAGAGATAAACCACAGCCACCCCTAGATACCATGCGTCATGTACAGTAAAACAGAACTCAAACCAATGTTTACAGTGAAATATACCCACTGACCCACAGCTTTACATACTTTTCCCATACAAGGCCTCATGCCAGTCTTGTTCAGTGCTGTTGACCTCTTGACGAAGACAGACTGAGTAGCTGGTGGGAGGAATAGTTGGCTCTATCTGAAGGAACAGGGAGGAAGCTAACATTGCTTGATGTTTGGCCTGAGCTGAGATGAAGATGAGACATAGCTAATGAGGAAGAGGTCTCTCTCCACTACGATCTCTTTGGGATTACAGAATAATTATTAGAATTTCCACAGAGGAAGACACATGTTGGCATCAATCAATCAAAGTGACTGAACACTAAATGTGAATACTCCCCAACATGCTTGAAGAACTAAAAGAGGAGACACAATGCTCCTATTAGAGACATGCTTTAATTTCATCTGCAGTCCACTTAATGTTAATACATCATCCATGTTTACCCGCTTTCTTGAAAAATTTAATTTAAAATGGCATTTCTGTTACAGTAATTCATTTGCACAATAGATGTCATACTCTCCTCTTGGCTGCTGTCTCTTTTCTGACAGACACAAATCTGGCCTAATGCAAGAACCATTTATACCAACAGATTTTTTCCAAAGTAATGCATACAAGTGATTTAGGAATGCTAAACTGACAGTGATAGTAATCACCTATTATCTGGTATTTAGATGTATGAACAGAATTTAGGTGTGTTGTAGGAGTCACATGAAATTAGTCTGCTAGTATTCAGATCAAGTTTTTCACTAAGTAATTGACATTTCTAGTAATTTCAAGCAATTAAACATACATGTGTCATGTATCTGTTTAACCCTGCAATTTTAAATATAATTCTATTCTAAATATATTTCATCAAATTACCACTGACAGCTGTGCCCACAGTGTTTAAATGATGTATGATGGAGAAAGGGCTGCAGATAGATGCACTGCATGAATTTGGGTGTGAAAGGTAAAACTATACTCTAAAGGGCTATACACGAATAGGAATAATATAAATCTTAGAAATAGAACATTTCTCAAGTACAGTTTCCCTACATGTGTGCATATGTCAAATTATACTTGCACCATCATTACTTAATGTGGACATAGCCTTATACAATACATACTATAGGAACACAAGTGGGCTTGCATTTTGAGGGCAGGGTATGCTATTATAGTGGCTTCCCCATTTCGCATGCCAAAGTGTCCTTGGGCAAGATGGCAGTAAACCCTAAAATTCCCCCTTGTCATAGAGAACGTGCTGCACATAGATGCACTGTGTGAATGTGTGTCAACGGATGAATGACAACAACTGTACTGTAAAGTACTTTGAGTGGTCTAAAGACTAGAAAAACTACAAATAAATACAATCAATTTACACTGTACCATGAGCAATGGAATTTTCTCATTAAGGCTTGGCATGTAAGAAGAAGGATTTATAATTCTGTTTAAATTCAATTTTTTAGTTCCTGTCTGTACTCATACTGCAGCATTTTGAATCAAACGGAGAGCCCACAACCAGAAGTGGACTGGGCCAATAATTCAGGCATTTTTTTTCAGGCTATTCTTTTCATGCAAAGCGCCTCTAATTTTACAGGTTAACCCTATTTGTTAACAGGTAAACAAGTAGGCGGAGCAGTAGCTCACTGCCATCTGTCAGCTTTTCAATGATGTCATCTTTGTCAAGTGCCATAAGAATTTCCTTCTCTGTTGCCACAACCAAAAGAGTGACATTTTTTTTTATTTTCAAAGGGCTTTTACATCAGAATTTCCTGCTATTATCAGAATGAGACAGTTTGTCAATGACAGTGTTATTTTGTTGTTTGAAAAGTTTTTCTGCATTATAAAGTTTGAATCATATTTATACAGTGGTAATGAGATTAATTTCACCGGCACCACAATATAGTGCCACCTACTGATTCCCCATGAAAAAAAAAGTCCACTGTGCATTTTCCAACAGGCCCGAAAATTCTATCACATGATCAGAGTCCAGGCCTGAACAGACCTATTAGTCTGTATGAAGTGATAGTGATAGCGCCACCTACTGATCAGCGTTAAAATTAAGTTAATTTAAAGTACTTTGTCCTACTGGCCCCAAATTGGTCACGCTTCATCAGAGCCCTGACCTGAACAGATCTATTAGTCTGTAAGTAGTGATAGTGCCACCTCCTGGCAACAGGAAGTAAGCCTTTAATTTCAATTGACATAAAATTTTCACCATGTGGTTGTGGTCAGCACTTGAGGTCATGGACGATGATGTGTGATTAGCGAACAAAATGAATACAACACCAAGCTGTTTTGCCCGGTCCCCAACCGCCCTCCCCTGCTGCGTCTGCATCAGGTACCCAAGTTCACAAGTGCTCAGGCTAGCACAGTGCTGCTTTACATCCCTGGTTTATATTAGATTTTGTTTATTATTTATCAGACATCATTG